TTCTATATATTGAAGCCAAAGAGTTTTTCACAGCATAGGTATGAACAAAACCTTTAGTCTTCCTTTCATTTTCTCATACTTCCCATTCATTTTGTCTCCCTAGGACTTTGCTGTTTCCAGCTTCTAGTGGTCTTTCCTCCTTCACTGCCTCCTTCACTCCTACTTCTCTCCAGATAGCAGTTCTTCCCTTCTCCACAGAAAGCCTGTCCTTGGTCTCCTGATTTGGAGCAAGGTCATTTCCTTCTCCTCCCCTCCTCTCCCCTCCCCTGCCCTGCCCTCCTCTCTTCTATCCTCCCTTACCTTCCCCTTAGTGAATTGTTAGGCTCATTTGTATGATTCCATAATTCCTGTGCTTCTCTGTTAATAAAATATTAGTTCCAGGAAAGAAGGGACCATGTCAGATTCGGTTACCTTCTTCTCCATGCTCCCTAGAACAATACCTGACTCTCAAACAGGCATTTACTAATTGCTTGTTGAATGAATAATTAAAAGTCGGTATCAGGACTTGGGAAAATATTAATATGCTATAGGAAAAAGCCAGGAGATCTTCCAAAGGGGAATCATATAGAGGTGGATAATGAGGTAAAAATGTAAGATGCAGGCAGTACTTTAGAAAACTGGTTTAAATCTGAAAAAAAAAATGAGAGCATTGGGGAAATGTAGTATGGAAATAAGGTATCTGGTTTCCCCAGAACCTGTCTTCCCTCGAGAACGTACTCTCCTAGCAACCTGAGATTCCTGATTAATATATTGTAATACTATTTATTTGCAATTCATCTGAATAGCATTTTATATGCTTTATGAATCTAATCTATAGAATTATAGGTTCTATTAATATGTTGTTATATGGAATCATATGTTCTTATACATTGTAGCATCATTAAAGGAAATATTTTAAACATACATTTTTCTACATGACAACCCACTATGACTAGACGCAGAGCACAGTATTCATTTCTTTTGATTTATTCTATGTCTTTTGCACCATGTATCTTGATCACATTCATTTTCCCATCCCTTTGCATCTGTCATGCACCCCTGCACCCCCCCCCACCCGGTCAAAGTTTAAGAGAAAAAAAGAAAATGGAAAAAGTTAAAAATCTGGCCATGGAATCTTCAGTGTTACACAGTGAGTCGCGCAGTAAACCCCTTTCTTTGTCCATATATCTTTACTTGCAAGTGGTCATTGCAAAGTCATTGGTCTGGTTCAAGGCCTCTAGTTTCTACTACACTATTGAGGCTGGGTCCTTACTAGGACTCTTCTTGGACATCCAATTGTTGCCCTTTGTTGTGGAGAGCCTATAGCTTTGGGTATGTGAGTCAGCTTCCTTCACATGCTCCAGCAGGTCATCGATGGGGTGGATGTTGGGGCAGGCCAAGTCATATACCAGCCAATCCTCCCCTGTCCTCATCTCCAGCATTGCCCCTACTAATTCACCTCTTGCAGTGATGAGTGAGGGGTGGGGCCATTTCTCCTTTCACTCCCTCAGGGTGGGCTCTCCCACACCTGTACCACTAGGGCCAGCTCTATTGTGTTGCCCAGGCTAGGCACAGAGGCCACTCTTCCAAGTACTACCGCTGGTGAAGGGTAGGGGCAGCCCTGAGCTCTACCGACCCCAACCAGCTCTTCCACCTCTCTCAGGTGTTTATTGGCAGGAGGTGGGGGAACATCTCTCCTCTGCCCATGGTAGCACATATCTGATGAGTAATAGAGAGCTCTCTCCTTTGTCTGTAACATGGACACTTCCAACCACTGGGCAGCTCTGCTGTGCTGCCTAGGTGAGGGGCAGGACCCGTTTCCTGAGTGCTAAAGCTGGTATTGGGAAGGGTCTGCTCTGTCATTTGTTGCAGGCAGTAAGGAGCAAGGGGTATGGGGGGGCATCTCTCACCTTCCCACACTGCCACCTGATAGATGAGTAGTGGGGCCAGCTCTCCCATAATTGCAGCTTTGAGGCCGGCTCACCCACACCTCCACCAACAGGGTTGGCTCTATTCTGTTACCCAGGTGAAGTGCAGGGCCTGCTCTCCCAGGTGGTACAGCTAGTGAGGTTCAGGGACAGTTCTTCTGCTCTTATGACCACAGGGCCAGCTCTTCCATCTGTCCAGGTGTTGATGGCCAGGGGCAGCTCTTCCCCACCCACGCTCACAACTTCAGAGCTGGCCCATTCACACCTGTGCTAACAGTGTTGGCTCTATTGTGCATTGGTGAGGGGGGAGCATCTCCCTCCAGTCCATGCCACCCTATGGCAGATAAGGGTGGGGCTAAGTTTTCTGGCAATCACTACTTTGGCTCTGGCTCACCCACACCTCCACCAACAGGGTTGGGTCTATGATGTTGCTCAGGCTAGGTGCAGGGGTATATATTTCCTTAAGAAATCTTTTTGCTGACTTAAAGATCATGAACAGATAGTCTTAAATGAGTGATTGGCTTGCTTTTACCTACTGAATGTTTTAAATTATATCTAATCATATTTCCTCCTTCACATTAACCCCTAGACAATTTAGAGTCTATGTGATAGTGCTTTGTACATTCTAATAAATCTGATCTTCATTGGTGTGCACTTGTTTGTATCACTATTTTAGCTTCATATTATATGGGTAACCATATTTTTGTTACTTTCAATTTTCATGGGCCTACTGAATTTTGCATCTGTAAATGGAACAGTTAAATTTATTTTTGATAGAAATCGTAATTTAAACTTTTTAACAAGATCTTTAGCTTTGTAAATGGAAAAAGGTTTAGACATTAATTACTGGTATGATCAAAATGGTTACTCTGGAGAATTGTAAGCAATCCTTTCCATTTTCCCTCCATTCTCAATTCAGTGTAGTATTTAAAAGCAGAGAAAAGGAACTTGCCTTAGAGCCCCACCTTACCATTTATAAGGTGTAGAATCCTAGACCTGGCCCCAAATTTTCAGGTTTCTTCCAACAAAATCAAGACAATGATATGCAGCTAATAAGTTTGCTATAAAAATTAAATAAGGAAATATTTGTAAAGCACTTAGATTAGTGCTTGGCACACAGTGAACACACACACAAATATATAGAAAGTAGTATTGTTCTTCAGCATGACTACTTTTTTGGAACTAACAGAAAGCTGTTGAAGTCATGGTCTTTTTCTAAAATAAATTAGGACAGAGTAACTGGGTACAGGCCTAGAAGAAAGTCGCCTTCTTTTTCTATTTCATTTGGTTTTCTTGAGAGTTCATGTGAAAATGAATTGTATGCTACTTGTTAGATTGCAGCCGTGTTTATGCAGAGGGCAACTGAATGACGGCATTGACTAAAATAAGGGAGCGTTCGCCAAGTCAGCATGTATTGTATTGGTTTCAGTGCTGTTGAAAGACTAGTGGCGGGGTTTTCCCTTTCGTTTATTTGAATGGAGCTTTAGACTATGTGTCTGTCAGGTACTTTACATTGTCCTCACTTCCTGGAAGTATGCCAGCATGGAATTCAGTCCTTGCTAGTTTTTGCTAGCATTGTTTTCACCTGTGTGAAAAAGAGTGGGACGCTGTTACCTCATGTTATTTTGTCTCATATAAATAGCTAGAGTGTTCTCTGCCCATTATACTGCCTTGGTTTTTTTTTTTTTTTTTTTTTTTTTGGTTTTTCGAGACAGGGTTTCTTTGTGGCTTTGGGTTTTTTTTTTTTTTACACGAATATAATACACTTTATTTTTGGAAACTTTTTTTAGTCTTTAGGTGGTCTGATGTAGTCAGAAAAGATCCAACTTCAAATCTTCTAGTTCTGATTTTCTGATCAGTTACTTACTATGTATACTTACGGAGTTACTTAATCTTGCTGTTTTAATTTCTTTTCCCCCAACATGATATTTTTATTAATTATTCCTTAATTTTATTCAGTGCACCCCAATCACACTAGCTTTCTATTCCTCCCAGGTCTACCCTCCCATCTAGCACCCCCTCCGACTCCAAATTAAAAACATTAAGTCCAGTTAGTATTGCTCATATACTCGTTGGAGCATGGCCAAGATTTAAAACTGATAACAATAGTCCCCTTATTTGACACCTCCCAATCTCCTCTTCATCCTCACCAATACTATAAAATTTCCAGAAGAAAATCAAAATGTTTTTTAAAGTTTATCTTTAGGATAGCAGAGTTTTAAGTATAAAAGACATCAAAGAATAGAAATTTATTGAAACAAAGTATTCAGCTTTAAAGTTATTGAAGTAGTGGTACAATGATAGAAGACAGGAGTTCAAAGTACAGGAAGATAGATTCATTAGGCTTATGTAAGAAGAATGAGGCCCCTCCCTCTGAAATAGTGTTAAAGAAAATGAAATGGTATGATAATCTAACTCTAAAAGTAGTTATTCATTCTAAATATTTGTCTCAAATTAGAAGTTAGAAGACAGGTGAGGTTTTCAGTGATTACCTGGAAAAGTTTGAATAGGAATAGTGATCTAACAATTGTTATTGAAGTCTGCTTGTTTGTTTCCCAGCTGCCCAGACCCAAAATAATCACTCAGAAACTATATTAATTACAACACTGCTTGACCTGTTAGCTTATGCTTCTTACTGACTAGCTCTTATACCTTAAATTAACCCATTTCTATTAATCTGTGTATGGCCACATGATTGCGGCCTACCAGTAAGGTTCTGTCCGGTATCTGTCTCCTGCAGTGGCTACATGACTTCTCCTTGACTCTGCCTTTTCTCTCCTCCTCTGTCTGCTTGGAATTCCCGCCTTGCCCTCTTCTGCCCTACAATAGGCACAAAGCAGCTTCTTTGTTAACAGATGGTATTCACAACATACAGAGGAGAATCCCACATCAAACAACGAAGAATATAATTCTTTTTTGCTACAGCTCACATATAGAATGAGAAAAAATGGGTGATTTGACTAGACCAATGTCAAAATGGATTTAAGTTGTGGCATGGTAGGAGTTATTGCTTGCTTTCCACCTGTCCATCAATTGATTTATATCAACAATTATTCTTTTGTATTTTTTTTCTTTTTTAATTTTATTTTGTAGGTCTTGATGACTGTTTGCAGCAGTATATTAAGAACTTTGAGAGGGAGAAGATCAGTGGAGATCAGCTGCTACGCATCACACATCAGGAACTGGAAGATCTGGGAGTCAGCCGTATTGGCCATCAGGAGCTAATCTTGGAGGCAGTTGACCTTCTGTGTGCACTGGTAAGGATTTAAACTGATTGGAAAGAAAACCTTTCTTATCTCCTGTCTTCCACTGTCTGCTGTTTTGTTTCTTTCTCTTTTATTTGTTTTTGCTGTGCTTCCATATCACAGTGCATCATTGAGATAATCGGGACAGAAACCCGGGAACAGGAAGAAATACAGAGGCCATTAAAGAGTCATGTTTACAGGCTTCTTCTTCATGTTCATGGCCTGCTCAGCCTACTTTCTTTTCCTTTTTTTGTTTTGTTTGTTTTTGTTTCTTGAGACAGGGTTTCTCAGTGTAACAGCCCTGACTGTCCTGGAATTTGCTCTGTAGACCTGGCTGTCCTGGATTCACAAAGATCTGCCTGTCTCAGCCTCCCGAGTGCTGGGATTAAAGGTGTTTACCAACACCTCCTGGCCTCCTCTGACTTCTTATGGTACCCAGGACCACCAATTCAGGGACGGCACCACCCACAGTGGTCTGGGCCTTCCCACATCAAATATTAATCAATAAAATGCCCTACAGACTTTCCTGTGGACAGCCAGATCTTATAGAGACATTTTCTCAATTGAAGTTCTCAGCTCTCAGATGACTAGGTTGTTTCGAGTTGACATAAAAACTAGCTAGTACAGCTATCTTTATTATAATTGTCTTCCTTGGTATCCCCAAACACGCATTTGACTGGATTCCACTAAGCCAGGTATCTATCTTACTCATTTGTAATTCTAACATTGTCCCACTGCCATTGCATAATAAAGTACTCATTCAGTTCTTTTTATATCAATAAATTTTTAATAAATAAAGAAAATATTGACATTAAATATACGTTTCTCTGTTTTATTATTCAGAATTATGGCTTAGAAACAGAAAATCTAAAAACCCTTTCTCACAAGTTGAATGCATCTGCCAAAAATCTACAGAACTTCATAACAGGAAGGAGAAGGAGTGGCCATTATGATGGGAGGACCAGCAGAAAATTGCCAAATGACTTTCTGACCTCAGTTGTGGATCTGATTGGAGCAGCCAAGAGTCTCCTCGCCTGGTTGGACAGGTATACTCTTCCCCATGTTCTATAAGTAACTCGTCCTCATATGCCAGTTTGTATCATCACATTATTTCACATTTTCTTATGAAAATATTAGTCAGATAGAAAAGTAAAAATAATAAATATCTGGTTATGGGCATGCTGTGGATTTTACTGTCCAGAAGTCTGAAGACTGGACAGAGCCAAGAGATCAAATAGACACTGGCCTGTCAACTGAAGAGTTGCTGGGATCCTGAGGACCTGGCTGCGGTGGTCCGAGTGCCAAGGATTGTTCCTCTACCTATGACCATCCCATGATATTGGCAGCCATTGCTGTGGCTGCCAGAGCAGCTAAGGCTGCTGGACTTTCCATTAGTCAATCAGTTGCTTCTGCTAGCACAATGGATACCTTCTCAGGGCAGGTTGCAAATGCCTTGGCCATTCAAATTGAGCTAAATTTACAAATGAATATTGCAGTTAGTTTTGCTATTGGTTTTGGTTAAAGACCACTTCTAGGTTATACAGTAAAAGCTTATTGCTGTTATTCATGAACCCTGGAGCGCACAATTTACAAATTGGTTCTTGAGATTATTCTAGTTAACTATACCAGGGTTCCTCACACCAGCACTGAGACCTTACTTAAAGGGCTCCAATTTGGGCAGACTTGTTTAGGATTGAGCAGGCACAACCTCCTTAAGGAGTGCTTACATGTGCTGGAGCATCATCTTCATGGTTTCATGGTACCAGAACCAAAGGAAAGCTCAGGTCAATGTTGCCACATGGCAGGTCCTCTTAGCTATTGCCCCAGAGGATCTTTCAGCATGAGTCTGGCTGAACTCAGTGATGGGTGACTAGTGAGCCAATGACAGGAGAGGTTTTTCGGGGGCTGCCTCAACCTAAGATAGGAAATGTGTTTTGACCTGGATGCTTTCCCATGATGGGTAAGGGGTATTGCCTGACATTCAATGCCATCTAAGACAGGCCTAGTCATATAATTTATATAAAAGGGGGACAGCCCTATCTCATTCCTGATTTTAATAGCATTGTAATTTTTCTCCATTTGGGATAATGTTGGCTGTGGGGTAATCATATAGCTTTCAGTTAAAAAACCTATTTAAAATTATATCATAAAAAGAAAGTAGGGTGAGAAAGCCATGAGGTTTAAGCCAGTATATGCAGCATTCCTCCATAGCCTTTGCTTCAGTTCCTGCCTCCAGGTTCTCATCTTGAGTTCCTGCCCTTATTTCCCTTCATGATAAAATGTTAAATGGCACTGGAATCCTATTCTCTTTGGATGTATACCTTGCTCAACCTGGATGAAGTGGGAAGGGCCATGTGCTTCCCACAGGGCAGGGTGCCTTACCCTCTCTTAAGATTGGAGGGGGGATGGGGGGGAGAGTGTGTGGAGGGAGTGGGAGGGAAGTGGGAGGAGGGGAGGAAGTGGGAATTTGGATTGGTATTTTTTTAAGTAATAAAATAAAATAATAATAATTTAAAAAAGAATGTTACTCTAAGCTGAAATAACCTCCATATTTACATATATAGTAAATATTACCTCTGGTCAGTAAGATAGGCTAATTGTTAATGCTTAAATAACACATCAGTATTAGTTTTATTTTCTGTCACTATTATTTAATCTATAACTATACATTTGTTTATCCCAAAATAAAGTGATTTAAGTAAATTTCATTGTATTTTCTTTTCCTTGCATAGAATGATTACAGAATGCTTTTGTTTCCAAATGGTAGGCCTAAGTATACATACTCTAAATTAATTTTTATAATATAATAGTTTTGAGATTTTGTTGTATTATGTATCATTACATTATATCATCAATACAACTCTTGATAAGCATCAATTCACCTCCATGTACAAACACCCACAGAAATCCCTGAAGCCATGCAAGTCATAGTTGTTTTATGCTTATTTTATAGGAAGTGACAGTATGACAAAGTCCTAAAGAAAATAGTTGGTGTGAATTTTGTACTATATCAGCAGTATTCAGTTAAATTAGAGGCTATTTGATATTTTGACCCTAAAAATTAAATAAGTACTTAAAAGCAACACAAAAAGATAAATTGGGATAACTTTTAAGTTCTATATAGATTTTTGAAAGTTGAAAAAAGAAATGAATGTTTATTATTTTTAATCACAGAAAACTTCAACTGTAGACTGGCTTGATCATTAACATTGCTTTAACAACTTGAGTTAAAAGAAAAAAAAACTGAACTTGGTGGCACATGCCTTTAATCCCAGCTCTGAGGAGGCAGGTAGATCTCTTTGAGTTCTAGATCAGCCTGCCAGCCTGGTCTACACATTGCACTTCAGGACAGTCAGTCTAAGTTACCTCCTTTGACCCTGTCTCAAAAAAAAATTAATAAAATAAAATAAGAAGAACAAAAGAAAGTCTTGGTCTTACTAATACATTTGCACTACATAGGAAAGACAGTGGGGTGCAGCCCAGAGTCATTGTTTTGTTCAGATCTGTAAATTTAAAAGATTCCTCCTTGCAGAAGATTGGAGAAGACCAATGCTAGAAAAAAGGAATACTACTTTGGAGACTTTTTCAGGATTTAATCACTGCTACTACTGCTAGCATGACGATGACACTCTTTGACATGAATAACTTTAGGCATATAATTATTTACTCAAAACAATCCAAAATGGTTGTCCTTATTTTACAATTAGGCAACCTAGGATGGTTAAATTCAAAACCAAATGAGTAAATGGACCTAGTACTTTATAGAGCCTAATAATCCAACGATATATTTTATTTTCTCCACTGCTATGAGATTTTAATTAATGAAGCAAAAATAAGAATATATCAAGATGTCTGGATAGACAAATAAGGCCTCGGGTCAGATAAGAGCTGGAGAGTCAGAGAATGGGGATATTTGGAAGGAATAAGTCATGCCGGACTTGGCCAACCCAGTGAATAATCAAAGGAAATGTAAGGAAAATACTAGAATGTATTTTGATTGTCCTACTTGATTTTTCAAAACCCATAGACAGACCTTCCTAACATGTTATATGATTCTACTTATAAACTAGGCCAATTGTTCTTATTAACTGTTCTTTCTATAATATGTCGTTCACAACAGCGAAGATTTTTCTTGTACTTTGCTCACTGATATCATAGTTATCCAGAAAATGTCCAAGCCTGTACAGTACACATTATAATTTTTTTGAAGGAATAGAGGGCTATGGAATAAGAAATGAGCCCTGTGGACCACCAACAGTTGAAAAACAATTAGAAGTTTAGTTCATGTTTGGCATGGTTGCCTTTAATCCTAGCACTTGAGAGGCAGAGGCAGGAACTGACTTCAAGGCCAGCCTGGTCTACAGAGTGAGTCCAAGGAGGAGGAGGAGGAGGAAAGAAGTTTAGCTCATGAGAACAAATTTAGAAGTATAACTAGAATAAAAAATAAACTTATATGAAAGTAGTGTCATGGAAGCAAAAGAAAATAAGAATTTGAAGGAAAAAAGTTATCAGTAGGGTGAGATGTTGCTAAAAGAATAGATAGGGTATAGTATGTGATACAATAAGAAATCAGGATATTTGTGAATTATTTGGTTGAACATAATGTGAGAAAAGCTGCAGGATAGTTTTCTATTTTAACTTTACCTGTGAATCAATTTTTAATCTTTAGTGATTATAGAAAAAAATATTAGCACAAATTCTAAGTCCTAATAATACATTAGGGAACGTGACTGTTCCACCTCTGTCTTGGGTTGTAGGAGTATCAATCTGTATTTCTCCTTGACTGATAGAAATTTTAGAAAGTATTGATACCAATTTAAATGTAATAGAATCTTATTTTCAATTACATTGAGAAATTTATTTTCCTGATAAGCAATATAAACTTCTGTTAAATATTGTTAGTAGGTATATGCTTATTATATGTTTAGTTTTCAAAAAAAATGTTTTCTACATAGCAGTTCATCCAAACATTCTACATACCCCCTTTTTGGTGTATCCTGAAGTCTTTTGAAAAATATGTTTAACCTTTACTGTTATTTTATGTTTGTGAGTGTTAAGCTTATGTGCATGTCTGCACATCCTGCATATATAGTACCCACAAAGTTCAGAAGAAAGTATTGGATCTCCTGGAACTGAAGTTGTGAGCCATCATGTGGGTGCTGGGAATGGAGCCAGGTCCTCTGTAAGCAAGCACTCTTAACTGCTGAACCATATTTCTACACTCCATGTCCTAAAAAGTATACACAGAAAACAAAACACAAGAATTAGATGCTAAAAAGTAGAAGGAATATTATCCATGAGCATCATTGTAGATCTCATATTTATCTGTAATAAATATGCTTTTCTTTTCATTAACTAAAATTTAATTACTTAAATATAAAATTTCCATATAAATGATGCTGAGCAAATGTTAAGATTTGCTTTTCAGTCTATATTTGATTTGTAAGGTTTATCCACTACAATTAAATATTGCTAAGTATTTTATCTTATTTTAAAGTTCTTTATATATAAAATTGTCATGATAGATGAAATGGAACAATTCCCTAAATAGAAGAGATTTATCATTGCTTCAATCTCTCACTAGAAGAGATTGAAGCAATGATAAACCCTAGGTAAATTTATGTTAGTGTCTAACTGCATGTGACTCTGGGTTCTGGATTCAGACTTCTGAGTCTGAACACTAACTCCCACACTCACTCGTTCTGTTTCTTAGACAAATCACTAGATAATTATCTACCTTCATTGTTTTCTTTTGTAAAACGAAAATAATAAAAGATTGCCTATTTCATAAGAATTACTGTGAATATCAATTAAGTATGTATGTCACAATTAGAATAGTGATTCACATGTAGTAAGCCATCAGTAACCATTATTTTAGTAATATTGCTAACCTTTAATTATGAGTATTTCAAGTAAATGTCATATTTAAAATGTTAGGTTTCTTTGGAAATAAATACTTAGATGCTTAATGCTTTGTATTAGATTTAGTAAAGGTGTATTTAAAAAAGCATTAGAGAACTAGATATTAAGAAATTTATGAAGAAAATTTTGATATAAAGAAAACTATATATTTCTAAATTTTAATTCTTCTTAATTTTACTCATGTTATTCTAAACGAGTCCCAGATATTGTGTTTTCTCACTATGTAAGCTTTAGAACAATTTATTTCATTATTATTCAAAATCATATTTTATACCATTTCATTTTGGTGGTCTTCAAAAGCTGCTCTGAATAATCACAGTCTTTGTTTTACCTTTGTAGGTCACCATTTGCTGCTGTGACAGACTATTCAGTCACAAGAAATAACGTCATACAGCTCTGCTTGGAACTAACAACAATCGTGCAACAGGTATTGACTGACAGTTTCCTTTGGTTAAATTACTAGCTATTATATATTTCATAAATGAGTAAATAATTTTGTTTTAGTTTTTCAAGATAGAGTTTTTCTGTGTAGCTTTGGAACCTGTCCTAAAACTCACTCTCTAGACCAGGCTGGCCTTGAACTCACAAATCCTTGGATTAAAGGCACGTGCCACTACTGCCTAGTGAGCAAATAATTCTTAAAAAGCAAATTATTTATTCGAAAAGTATGCATGTATCATAAGTTTTGTTTCTCAGAAGATATAAAAATGAATTGGAATTCCTAACTTCATTATTATAAGATCCTGTCTGTCAGTTTCATCGTCAATGGAATGTCTAAACTGTGTCACTTTTGCAGAATGAAATCACTCTATCCAACAGAGTCCGATTTTTGCTCTAAGATACAGTTTCACTTTGTGTGTACACATAAATAAATATACCTAAGAGCCTTTTAGTAGTGATCTAATTACCTGAGCAAATTTTTCAGTAAAAAGGAAGCGGGAGATTCCAAGATCAAATGCCTTCAAGAGTCCAACAACTAGTATAAATGTTTGAGTCCATTCTTTTATAAAACAATGAGAAATGTCAGAGACTGAAGTAAATTTACTAGTAGAGCTACGATAATTTTTTAAGTAAAATCCATCTAGGAGGATTGCTGTTTAGAGCTACAACTCTCCATAACTCTTGTGGCATCCTATCACCACTGCTTCTTTCTCAGGATACCATTATGCAGTAATGCAGGGACTGGGAGAATGGGAATAATGTATAATGATGCAAAAAATTATTGGATAAGCTAGTGAAATTGTGATTTACTTTATCCTTGTGCCACCTATCCTTGATTGTCAGCCATAGTTCTCAGATTGCTATATTGTTTATAATTCCTCAAAATAGGGAATTTTATTAATATAGACTTACTAGCTTCAATATACTTTTCTATCATGTAGTTATTTTTGCATCATTTATCTCATATTTTATGTTCTCATTATTTTCATTTAGGGTCTAGTTAGTAACATTGTGATGCCTCATCATGATATACATCAGACACTTATCAGATTGATATGATGGAAATGAAAAGCTTTCGTTAGTCAAATGATGGGAAACATTTTTTGGCATTTTATTAATTTTCGTTTTTCTTTATTCTTTTCTCATACAATATATTCTGAATGCAGCTCCCCTCCATCACTCCTCCCATTTCCCTTCCACCTGCCCTCTTCTCCAGATCCACTGCTCCTCCATTTCCCTTCAGAAAAGAGCAGGCCTCCCAGGGATATCAACTGAACATAATATAACAGGATGCTCTAGGAACAAAGTCTCATCAAGGCTGAATGAGGCAACCCAGTAGGAGGAAAAGGGTGATGGGAAACATTTTATTAGCTTATAAGTACTCCAATAATCTGTGTCCCTTCATATTTGATAATGATAAATAACTTTTTAAAAATTTCAACTAGAAAATAGAAAAGCATAGTATATTGAAAGTACACATTAGGAAATATTTTTCTGAAGGGCCATATCAAAGTAGTAGATATTTAAGACTTTATAGGCTAGATTGTATTTGTCACAATAATCTCTCTTATTTTAAGGCAAAAAAGTAGAAGGTATAAATACATGAATGTGTTTAGAATCCATTAAAAATTGTTTCATAAAAATTAGCCAAATTTCAGCCATAGCTATTGACCTGTGTTCCAGAGCGGTGGAGTCCAGTGTGACCAACTGCTGTTTTGATGGCATGAAAAAATGTTAGAAACTGAAATGCTTGGGCCTCACTTCAAATGTATTATTATAGGTAAGGCCCAAGATCTTGCATTTCTGCAAGGTTTTCTAGGTGGTTTTTATTGCCATGCATTGCTCTTGGGAACAGAGTTAATAGCAATAACATAACTTACAGCTAATGACTCCTGTGGTTATGGCTTATCAGAAACATTTATTTTTATTTTTTATTGAAATTTTTTTCATACAATATACTCTGATCATGGCTTCCCTTCCCTAACTCCTTCCCGATCCTCTCATCTCTCAACACACCAAACTCCAGGCCCTTTCTTTCTCTTTAGAATGCAAGCAGGCAACCAATAAAAACAAATGATGATTTACAAGAACAAAAAAAATCAAAAACATTTCTTAAAAATGTTCTTTCTAGAGTGTTACTTTATCTCTATGTCTTTGTTTTTTTGGCACAGTGTATGTGCACATACTAATAAAATACATTATTAACACTTTACTGTTACTTGGTAAAAATTTGTGGTAATTAAATTATCTGTTATTTAATCAATCTTTTTTGCTTTTACATGACAATTGTAATACTGTGAAATTAAAATTAAATTTATTGTTTGTTTTTATTTTTAATTTTTATACTAAAGGAGTTAATACTTATTGCTATTTTTATTATTTCAACATTGAAAATACTTTCAAGTATATTTGTGAAATGAATGTTGGTATTTATTGAGTAGTGGGCTAACTCTTCGTTGTTTTTGTAAACCGAGACTGCAGTGCTTGATGACCTTGGAGATCATCAAGTAATCATTGCTTAACTCACATATATCAATATTGTTTTTTTAATGAGAAGGCAGTACATGAAGGGATTTTAAACAAAAGTTATATATAAGGTAAGGTAAAAATAGTTTTCTCTGTTTAGAATTCACAGATTATACAGCACACCTTTGTTCTTAACCTTCACCTATTACTTTGAGAAGAATATGGAAATAATTTTTAGTGAATTACCATTTTTCTGCAGAGATATGCAGTGATGGAAATGCAGTGCATGTCAGATATGGCTAGCTCACACATTCTGTGATTCATTGATTTCTTGCTTTTCTCCTGATTGCATGAATGTCTGCTATTGACAGTTACTTTACATAAAACATCCCCCATCCTTACATTGCCCTCAAAGACTTGTTAGTATTCGCAATAGGTCTTTTCAGTAGCTTTGCTCTTTATATCCAGATTATGCTTGAGCATCTTATTATAAGGTAGTAATGGGTTTAAGTTTTGCTACTTAGAGGTCAGAAAACGTTAAGTAGACTAGAGATTCTTTTACAGGCTGAACTTTAAGTACACATTGTCTTGACCAAACATAAAATTGCTAAACTAATTCAAATGTACTTGGAACACAGAAGGACTTTTTGTACCCTCCACCCACTGGATACTCTGCTTGAAAGATAATGGTGTGCCCTCTTAGGACATTTTGCTCATATATCACCAGCTTCTATATTTTACAATTCAGTAGCTCATGTCATTTGTCATAACTACTTCTACCTCATTTTCATTTTCCCATCACATACCATGTTTGATGTGTCATCTTTAGAACAAAATCTTACAATGTTGGTTTATTCCTTGCTTTTCCATATTTCTAATTTATACCTAGTTCTGTTGTTCCTTAAAGGAAACATTAAATGCGAATTCCTCTTAGTAAATAATGTCGTGACAACCTTTTTTAATCTGTCCATAAATATAGACCTTATCACTTTTGAATTAGTCATTACAAATCAAAGCCCATTTTTCTGTTTACAAATACATTGCTAACTTGTTCCTTTGGGATTCAAAGGAGCTAACATTCTATTTCAGCATAACTCTGGTTTTATCTTCAAGAACTCCCAGGTATATTAACTCTAACTCATACAGATAAATTATCTTTAGTAAAACAGATCTTAGTTTGGCTGTTCATCTTATGATACCTCTGTACAATATACCCTATATCTTTCATCTCTGCCTGATTAAAATTATGTCCTATACTTTAAGGACTTTGAGAAATGATAATTAGTTCATGAAGCTTTTCTGATTTCCCACAAGTGTCTGTGTCTTCTCTTAGTATTGAATATTTATTGTAATGTGTTTCCTGCTATTGTTGAAATTAAGTGTAACACCTTGCTATTGGTCTTTTACTTTCTCACACATCCAATTGTTTACCTTTTTCTGTAAAAGATTAGACTAGTTATTTGTCGTATTCTCTTTTATCCCGTTTTTGATGCGTGTTTTTTGATGCACTGTTGTATGAGCAGAGGTAGAGTTCCTCATCATTCTGTGCAGAGCATCACATACCTTCTGGAGCAGTCATAGCCTTGAAGAGCAATCATCTTACTGTCATTAGATGATAAACTCCTTGAAGACAAAAACAGTGTCTTTCTTAGTTCATATATACTGCTGGTTAAAAATAATTGAATGAGCAGAATTATCCTCTGTCCTTGCCATGAGTTCATTTGTCTTTTGCAAAGAAAGAAAAATGAAGGAAGGAAGGAAAAAAAGGAAGAATTGTGTTACTCTTTTATTAACTCTCATGTGAGAAAGCTTCCTTTCTGTTTGTTATTCATATTTTAAAAGCCTCAATGATATCCATCACTTTACATCTCTCTTAAATAGTTAAAACATGATTATTTGAACTGCTGACACAGCTTAGTGACCGAGCGCTTGTTTTCTGCATATGGCACTGCATACTACCTCAGTGCTATAAAAGTAAAAATAAATAAGAAGGGATTATTCTCATAATTATATTACAGGCTAGCATAAAAATCTGTTCTGAAACATTATACAGATACCTAATGCTAACAAAATGTATCTTTTAGGAATTTTGTGTATTTGTAGTCAGAAATTATCTCTGAATTACTGCACTGTTTTTTTTTTTTTTTGGCTGTAGATGATACAATCTAATTTCTGAGCTCTGTGTTATGTTTCTGCTCAGAAGTACCAAAAGGAATGAGGACTGATAGATAAAATTGTGAAATAAAATAGTTAACTGTTTGGTTCTGGATAGTGAATCTATAGGCAGATTTTACGTTTCTATTTTTTCCAAATTTCCAAAAAGTGAATTTAAATTATCCAGAAAAGAAAGACTTTTTTCCACACTGAAGGAATGTTAGTTTAAGTTTGACAATGGAACCTATCATAACCAAATACTAAAATTATATTTTAAAATAAATTACATATAGTTACCCTCCAACAAATTGTGTGTGTGTGTGTGTGTGTGTGTGTGTGTGTGTGTGTGTGTGTAGTAACCAAAGA